ACTGTCAAGAGGCTGGCTTGGTGGCAGATGCCCATAATCCTAGACATTTGGGAAACTGAGGCAGATGAATCACAAATTCAAAACCTACTTGAGGAATGGAGAGTTAGTTCCAGGCCAGCCTGGACAACTTACTGAGACCTCCCTTTTTTTTCCCCAAAAAATTATAAATAAAAAAGGGCTGGGGATGCAGCTCAAAGGTGGAGCCATTGTGCATATGCATGAGGTCCTTGGTCTAACCTCCGGTATCCCAAAAAAAGAAAATAAAATACTGTCAGGCATTGAAAATGTCCATATGTCAGGGCCGAAGACAAACAGGAAGACCTGGCTCCTGAAAGGGTGGACCAATGTCACCAGCTCCGTTGGTGAGCTTGCTGCAAATGCAGAATCCCAGGCCCTACCCTAGAGCTCTAGATTCAGAATCTAGACTTTAACAAGATGCCCCGGCATCTCTTGCTTGAGAGGTGCTGTTTTAGAATATTCCCAGCAGGTCGCATAGGGCAGTGAATGAGCATCCATTCCCATTGGGAACTTGGGAATGGAAGTAGGCAGTGATTGTCTTGGTTAGAGCCTCATTTGTGTCCATACAGACTGCCTAGAGTCTCCTTCATGCTCCAGAACAGGGATACTACTATACACTGGCATCCATCCATGGTCCCTCTGGAAATGGATTTCAATTTTAACCTGTGTCAGCCACTATATAAGGATGTAGGTGAATATGTGTGGGAGAGGGCATGAGGAGAGCAGCCCATGTTATGACTTGCTGTGATATATGACTCCTTAGCATGGCCCAGGAGCCTGCATTGCTGTATCCCTCATCTAGGCCTGTAGTCACTGCTGTTCAGCGAACACTGTGTGCAAGCTCTTTAACCCCATTTACAGATGAGGAAACTGAGACCCATTAGGTCAGGGATTGCTGAGGTCACCCATCCAGGAAAAGGCCTGAGTATGCTCTCTGCCTTTCCACTCCCCCACCCTTGCCTTGCCTGGGTGACTGCATTCCACAGCTACCTTGGGAGAGGGTGCCCAAGGCTGCAGAGCAGGTGCTTTGAGGTGGTTTATTCAATAAAGGAAAGTCTGCAAACTCCAAAGAGGTGACTGAGCCTATTATACTTAACAAAAGATGGGAATTGGCTGGGTCAGGTGTGCCTCTTACATAGCGGGCAGCACAGGACAGAATTCACTGGGCCATGACCAAGGCTGCTGCTCCTGTGTAAGGCTTCAACATTAAACTATAGGGTGGCCTTATTTAAAAGCAGACTGTTTTATAAGGCGCATGGTCCTGTCTACACTATACATTTATGAACCCAGCTGTACTGTGCTGGGTGCTCACACCTGAGCTCCCTACTCCTGGCTTGGCACCATCTGCCTTGTGCTGGGAAGAAGTGAACCGGGGCGGGGGGGATGTATGACTTCAGACATTTCCCGAGCAATCTCCTTCCCTCCACTATCTTTTGCAGATGGAAAAGTTGAGAGACTGGTGAGGTGCTTTCCTCTGCAGTGCCACACATACCTTTGTGGTTCTTCGGTGGCCACACCACGAGAGGAGTTCTATCATTTGGCGGGGGGTAGGGGAGTAATCGTTGCCTGTGTTTCCACTACTTCTTGCCTTGAGGGTCAGATAATAATTGTGTCTCCTGCTTGTAAAGCCTGCTCAAACATTTTTTTTTTTTTTAAAGCATGAACAAAGCCGGGCATGGTGGTGCATGCCTTTAATCCCAGCACTCGGGAGGCAGAGGCAGGCGGATCTCTGTGAGTTCGAGGCCAGCCTGGTCTACACAGTGAGTTCCAGGCCAGTTAGGGCTACAGGGAGACCCTGTCTCAAAAAAAACAAAAAACAAAAAAATAAATAAAAGCATGAACAGTCAGAAGTCATCAAGACAGGTGGATCATGAGCAGTGACATTGTATTTCACTGTTTAGTCAATGGGCAGTAGTAAGAGGGAGCTTGGGGTGGGGGTGCTCCTGGGGTTGGTCTTCGAGTTCAGGTTGTTCTCCGAATTGCCTGATCTTAGATGTAGGTACCAACCACTTTAACAATGGTGGCTTCAGCTATTTCGAGTTTAGCATTTTGCCTAAGACCTCCACTTGCTGTCTTGAGGAACCAGGAGGAATTTGAGTTTGCTTTGAGGAAGAAAGGAAAGGTCTATTTATGGGACACTTACTCCAAGTAAAAGTGGCTGACAGGTACCAAGAAGTTACTTGGCCCAGGAATGTTCTTAAGCACCTGGTCTTGTAGTGCTTATAGGGTCCATGAGGCAAGTACCGTTAGCCTCCTACTACCGAAAGAGGAAACTGGGTATGGAGAGGTTATGTAGCCTGCTCAAGGTCACACAGCTAGAGAATGGTTTTTAGCCAGAGTTCTTAGCCATGTTCCTGTTACCCCATAATTTCTGTCTTCTGGCTCAGTTTGTCCTTCAGCTTCATGAGGCAGACACTGATTTAGGGGCTGTGGTTATGGGTCTCCTTTCTCAACAACTCTTTTAAAAGTTCCTCTTTTTAGCTGTCTGGGTCCTATAGAACAAACAGGCCTCATATGTAGCAAACAAGTACAGAAAGTTATGTCAGTTGGTATCAACCAGATGCTCAGAAGAAGATAAAGTGGGAAAGGTATAGAGTGAGGGAGGCGATGGGTCAGCTGGAGGATAGCACAAGCAGATGCTTACGTGTCAAGGATGCCAAGATCCGTGGCATGCAAAGCTGCCGCACAGCCTCTGTCCTGTGTATTGGGTGCTTAATGAATGCTTTCACGATTATTCTTATTGTATCCTTGGCTTGCCATCAACTAGCTGCCTGACCTGGGGTGGGTCTTCTCCACAGTAGAAATGAGCATCTGCCCTCTAGCCTTGGCAGTTGCACTGCTCTAAGTGGTTTCTAGCTTTTGTCTCCTCCTGACTTCCCACCACTTCTTTGAAACCGGGGGCAGAATGGGTCTCAAGCATTTTCATTCATTTGCAGGCCTGGGGAAGTTTTTGTGGAAAGACAGTCACCCTGGTCAGTAACATTTGTGGAGCCCTTTGAGTTTTCTGCAGCTCTGAGTGGAGTTTGATTAGAATGTGGGCACTTGGCTTGTCATGCTTGTCTGGAAGCATTGCTCTAGCAGGGACACCATGAGACCACGGCCTGTCGCTGGACTCTTGTAGGGGGCAGGGATGGACAGTGGGCCCATTTTTTACCCGTTAGAATGTCCCCACCCTCACTAACCCTGGATGGTGAAGAACTGTATTCCCATTATAGATTGACAATAGGGCCTCCTTGAGGCCAAGTTCAGCTTGCTGCATAATCAGAGGGGTGGTTCCTGCCCTTGGCCCATCTTTAGTTTATGGAGGAATGAAGAAGTTGGTCCAGGGGCCACCCACATTCTCCAGGGCCTGTGTGTGTTCACCGCCTGCTGCCTAGGAATAAGCTCCCAGGATGTGTGCCTCACTCAGACAAAATACAGCCTTCCAGTCCTAGTTTTCCAAGCAGAGGAGGGTTTTCTTGCTGCATACTGAATGGGGCTATCTTGAGGGCCTGGGGTAGCTCTGAGCCTGGCACTGTAGTGACATGGGGCGTTTAGGCAGGAAGGCTCCCTTCCTTTCCTCTTTTCTCTCCTTTTCTCTCTCTGACTGTGCTGTATGTTTGCTCAGATGTACCATGTGCCAAGCATGGGGTAAAGGACTAGCGATGAAACAGGGGATTGGATACGCAGGAAGGTAGGTAGGTTGTAGTCAAGGCATAAGTCCGAAGCAGTCACACTTAGGAAAGGGACTGAGTGCAAGGAGCAATACAGTTCATATGCTTGGCAGTCTTAACTGACTTTCTAGGAGGCCAGCAAATAGCAAAACCAGTAGCAGCTGCTTCCCAGTTCTTGATGAGTCTCAGGTGGATGTGCTGTATTTAAGGAATGCTTCTGTTTATAGTTGGTGGTGGGGAGTGGGGCAGGCAGAAGTTGCAGGTGCTCCAGATGTGAATCCGTTCCTTGAGTGGCTGGCCTTGGTCCACCCTGTGATAGTCAAGCTGGAGGTTGCTGCTAACAGAGCCTTGCTGTTCTGCAGATAACACCATGTCTGTCATCCAGAGAGAGGGGTTAGCTGCCTCTCACCCAGGAACAGGTATGTCAGAGAAGGAAGACCAGGAGGGGACACATTTGGGAGGGAACCAAGCAGACTTTCTGAACTGACAGCTGATTGGTTAGTGGGCTTCCTGTTTTTGCTCTCCTCCAGATTATCTGCCAACTTGTTTATGAACAAAAATGAATCCACTGGTAGATGTATTTTTTGTTATTAGATTAACGTGTTTCTGTCTAGTGCCTTTTAATTTATGTGTTTTCTTTTGAGTGGTTACTCTGCTGATCCTAGCCATTCTCTACAATTTGTGTTCACAAGTGACATTGACAGGGAGCTTTTGGAATTGACTGGAGCTGGGCAGGGCTGTCACTCTTTGCTTTATCCTGATTTGTTTCTAGAAGAGCCTGTCTGTCATACTATTTGTGATTGTAGGTGCTTTGGAAGGGAGGATGATGCAGGAAGGATTTGATCTCTAAGAACTGGAGTCTCCAACCTAAAGCTTGAGGCTAAGCTGGCTTTGGTATTGGCCAAACAGTGATTTTTTTTTTTTTGAGTCATCACTGCAGCAGCTGTACAATGAGTTTGCTGATACTGATTTCATCTTACTGTAATCATCAATTCCCTGAAGACCAGCTTATGTTTTTTTCCCCCCCAAAGGATAAAGATTTCTAGACTAAATGAATCAGGCCTAGTTAAGCAGCCCTGCTTAATGGGGGTGGGAGGAAGCAAGTGGAGAATCCCACCCCCTTGGCTGTTACAACCCGATGTTCTGTTGCCGGAGACAGACTTTTCTTCTTCTTGCTATAAATGAGACATGACGGGGTATTTCAGAGTTTTGTTTTGGTGATTGTCAATTCTGCCAATGAGTAACATCTGTATTTATTTTCTAAACTTCCCCGATGACTGATTTGCATCTGTTTGGTTCTGAGTAACATTTCATTTCCTGACTTTATAGGTTGCTATAAAATCCATTCGTAAGGACAAAATTAAGGATGAACAAGACATGGTTCACATCAGACGAGAGATTGAGATCATGTCATCCCTCAGCCATCCTCATATCATCAGTATTTATGAAGGTCAGTGATTTTGTTTTCCACTTCTGTGTTCATCACCATTTTGCATACCATGGGGTCTGCCAAGACTTTGAGGTAATGGCCCTTCTGGGCAGAAGCCAAATATTTTGCTTCATGATACAAAAATAACCAGGTGTTAACTCTTCTTTGCTTACCTTGAATGCAACCAGACACATGCAGGGCAGCTCATTTTGGTCATAAAACATGTCTGGCAGGCGCCTTCTTCCTTCTTCCCAGTTCCTTGGCTGTTGCTAAGTAACTCGCCTTATTGAAAATCACACTGTGAGACAGCCAGGTTTCTTAAAAAAAAAAAAAAAAGGTGGCAGCTTGCTGTGTGACCAGTAACAGTGGGTACATTGTGAATGTCATTCCCCACAAGCTGATCTCCTTGCTGGGATGAAGGAGGGGAAGGTGGAAATGAAGTCTAAACAAGTCTGGGAAGCACAGAGAAAGAAGGCTGGTGCTACTGGGGTTTTTCAAATGGAGTCCACGTTGTAGCTGGTGTTTATAAAGTAGAGGGTGGGGAGAGCTTATAAAAACCTATGCTTCAGTTCAACTCTGGTCCTCCATGGGAAGAAATAGAAAGTGGAAACCTCCTACAGCCAGTAATTTTTTTTAATATCCTGTAAAGTAATTACATAAGCAGTGTGTGTTTATTATAGCAGTGATTGCGATCCAAACGCTAAAGTTAAAAAATAATTTCAGGCAACTCTTAGCGGACTCTCAGTTTTCTAAAATCTATTTCTCTATACATTTTTTTAAAATTTTATTTTTATGTGTATGAGTGTTTTGTCTGCATGTATGTAAGTGCACCCATGTTGTGTGGTACCCGAGGAGGACAGAAAAGGGCAGAAGATCCCCTGGAACTGGAGTTATGGATGGTTATTAGCCACCATGTGGGTGCTGGGAGTTGAACTGAACCTGGGTCTTCTGCAAGAGCAGCCAGTGCTCTTAACGACTGAGCCCCATATTTTTTTTTTTTTTAATTTGAAGTTATACTGTTTGGGTTGCTCTTTTCTTGCTTTTATTTTATTTTATACCATATATCTCTTTCTGTGTCAATCAATAAATACTTCCCATGAAGACATTTTACAAGACTTTATCCTATTTCATTTAGGGACATACCATAATTTATTGAGTCTAATTTCTTTTGCCAGATATTGCAGTTTTCTATAAATTTGTTTATCACAAACAGGGCTTTATGGACTTTCATTTTCACATTAATTTCAGATTACTTTCTTATGAAAAATTCCCGGTTTTATGCTTATGAAATCAAAAGGTTTCCCTAGATTTTTTTAAAATATGTGGTTAAATAAGAAAAGTGAACTTTAAAAATAAGGAACTTCTTTTTCATTTATGGCCCATAAGAAGTTACCAGGCAAAGGAAATAAGATGGTGACCCTCAATTTTTAGCTTCTTTTATCAGTTTTCCTGGTCTTTTTTTCCTCCTCCTACTTCATTGCCTCTTACCTAGAAATAACTTGTTGATGTCTTTTATTCCCGTCTTACTTTTTAAAAATTTATTTTTATTGTATGTGTATGAATGTTTTGCCTGCAAGTATGTAAGTGCACCTGTGCTTACAATGCCTGTGGAGGCCAGAAGAGGGTGTCAGATCCCTTGGAAATGGAGTTACTGATGGTTGTTAGCTGCCATGTGGGTGCTGGGAGTCAAACCTGTGAGCCATCTCTCCAGCCCCTGCACCAAAATTTCTAACACCAATCCTCTGTTGTCCCAGGATGTGTTGTTTGCATGTCTATAGAACACTTTTTAAAAATCAAACTCACGGTCTCACACATCAGGTCTCACTGAGCTATACCCCTAGTCCCTACATAATTCTTTGCCTGTGTCACTGTTTGTCCACAAGGGCTGTTGATAGTGTTAAATGGCATAATGTTCTCGTTTGCTTTCTGTTACTGTGATAAAACACTCTTACCAAAAGCAACTTGGGGAGGAAAGGGTTTATTGCATCATTGAGGGATGTCAGTGCAGGGACTCAGGGCAAGAACCCAGAGGTAGGAACTGAAGCAGAGACCATGGAGGGGTGCTGCTCACTGGCTTGCTCAACTACTTTTCTTATATAGTTCAGGCCCGCCTGCCCAGGGACGGCACAGCCCACAGTGGGCTGGACTATCTGGTATCAGTGAGCAATCAAGAAAATGCCTCACAGACCTGGCCACAGGCCAGTCTGATGGAGAAAATTCCTCAGTTGAGGTTCCCTCTTCCCAGTATCTCTAGTTTGTGTCAACCTGACAAAAACTAATCAGCACATATAACATACATAGTAACTCAAACAAAAGATAACTATTATGGGACTCTATAGTTATCACATTTAATGAGTAACCACATGAGGCTAGGGGCTACCAAACTAGACAGTGTAGATCTGGAACATTCTCTTCATTGTACAAAGTTCTTTTGGACAATGTTGGTATAATAATGTTTCAGTGCCATATATACAGGTTGATTCCCCCCATTCAACAGATCACATTCCTTTCATTGACTCTCGGGGATTCCTGCCAGTAAATGGGTTAAAGAACACCCATTGTCTTCAAGTGTTTTGGACCTGCAAATACCATACAAATAAAACTCCCAGGCACTTAACCGCAGTCTTCTTTCCTTTTCATTTCTTAGAGCACTTTGCTCTCAGTTCTGCCCCCTTCCCATCTCCCACACAAGCTCTGTTTTTCCCACATCCACTGAGTAACTGTGGAGGAGGGCAGCTTCCCTCCCTTCACTGGGGTTTAGGAGAAGAAGCTTGCTGGGTCTCTGTTCCAGCCCTCACACTTGTGACTGTGACCCCACATTCCCTGGTCCTGTGACTTTATCTGCCTTCCTGCCTAGCATCCCAGCATCTTGCTCTGTGAATGGAGTGAAAATCCTAATGTCTTCTGTGGAGTCCCTTGAAGCTTACATAAGTCTCCTTCCTTGGATTCCCACAGCAAACCTGTGAGGTGAGCAGGTCAGATGTTCCCATTTTACAGTTATGGAGACTGAGCCTATGGAAGGCTAATGACTTGCTGGGTATGGTAGTGTGCTAGGACTGTCATAACATAGTACCTAACTAGGGGCTTCAAAAACAAGAAATTTTCTCTCAGTTCTGGAGTTCTCCCTTGGGCTTATAGAAGGTCATCTATCACTGCACCTTCAAGTCATCTTCCCTGAGTCTGTGTCCAGATTAGGGTCCATGCTAACGATCTCATTTAAACTTAATTACCTCTGTGAGGACACTCTTAGATAGAGTGGTATTGTGAGGTACTTGGGTACATCAGTGCTTCGACTTGAGTTTTGAGCATGGCACACAGTTCAGCCAGGCACACATCTAGCTGGTGGCCCTAACACCCAGGCCTCCACACATCTAGCTGGTGGCCCTAACACCAGGCCTCCTGACTCCATGTGTTTTTTTCCCTCTGCAGTGTCTCCACCCCACTCTCTGACCTTGTGCCTTGCCCTGCTGGCTCCTATTGCTACTCTGCCTGACCTTTCCTTTCCTGACCTCGCTGCCCATGCAGGCCTGGGCGTGGCAGAGGAAGGGCAGTGCCAGTGGGTGGGGACTCACATGTCTGCCAGTGTGTGCGTATGGATCTCCTGCCACTCAGAGAGTAGGAAGGAGCCTTCTCTAGAAGCTAAGGGATGATAGGCCAATCAGGAGCCTGCGCAGAGTGCAGAACTGCATTCTTTTGCTTAGTGGGAGATCAATGTAGAAGCACCTAAGTGGTCATTTGGACATCAGCCAAGTGAATAGAAGCTATTAAAGCACTTTACAACTTTTTCTTCAATAAGAATCTTTATAATTAACCCTACATGCGCGCGCACGCGCGCACACACACACATACACACACACACACACACACACACACACAGCACCCACTGGTTGGAGCATGATAAAGCAATACTCTGCCTAACCCTGCATGATTAGTAACTTTGGGTTCTCATGTGGGAAAGGCACCATCTAGTTTTGTACTAATGGTTATAACAGTTTAGTCCCAGAGGAAAAAGACATTCTTTCGTTAAAATAATTGGTATAATCAGATACCCGCTGTGTTTGGGGCCCTCTTAGATACTGGAAATACAAGGATAAACAAGCAAACTTAGATCTTTCTTAGAGTTGACATTCAAGAAGAGGAGAGACAGGAAATAGATGAGGCGAACACATCCCTCAGTGAAGGCCTTTCTGACTGACTTTTGAGCCAAGTGAATTTTGAGCAATTGATCCTTGGTTAAGTCCTGGATAAAGCAGGGTCTAAACTCTTGGGAGAGCTGGGCCTTCCAGGCAAAGGTAACAGTGTATGCAGATGCTCAGAAGAGGGAAGAGCTTATGTTGGCAGAAGTGACCTTGGACTGGTGAGACTGAGGAGGGGTGAGTAGGGTGGTAGGGGAAAGAGCCAAGTCTAGACTACATGACTAAAGGAGACTGTGGGTTCCACACCAGGAGTGGGTAGCTATTTGAGGGTTTTGAGGAGGAAACAGTATTTTTTATTTATACTTTCAAATAATTTATATATAATTTTGTGTGTGTATGTGTGGGGGTGCATTATATTTTGTGTGTGTGTTGTGTGTGTATGTGCACATGTGTGGGTGCATGTGCATGTGGAGGTCAGAGGACAACCTTGGGTGTTGTTCCTCAGGTGCCTTCTACCTTTTGTTTGAGGCTTCGACCATCACCAAGTAGGCTAGCTGGTCAGAGCCCCAGGGATCTGCCTCTCTCTGCCTAGCATCTCACCATTGCTGGGATTACAGGCATGCCATCCTGCCTCACTTTTTATATGGGTTCTAACTCAGGTCTATATGGGCTCTAAACTCAGGTCCTGGTGCTTTTTAAAAAAGTTTTTTTTTTGATTGATTTTCATTTTATGTGTATGACTGTTTTGCCGGCCTTATGTGTAAGTGCACCACAGAGACCAGAAGGGGGCATTGAATTCCCTGGAACTGGAGTTACAGATGGTTGTTAGCCACCATGTGGGTGCTGGGAACTGAACCCAGGTCCTCTGCAAGAGCAGCTAATGCT